GCGACCCTCGCGTTCAATGGTGTTCAACCAACAGCGACCCTCGCGTCGACAATGCACAAACCAACAGCGACCCTCGCGTCATCAAGGCACAAACCAAACGCGAGCGACCCTCGCGTTCAATGGTGTTCAGCTAACACCCAACTTCGCGTCTCAATTCAAAGAACACGAAGTTGAGTTCTGAACGCCAGATTGGGCGTTTGACTCACTCAAACATGAGTCGAACGGTTCCAAAACCGTTTATCCCACGTCCTGAGGGATTTTCACCCACGTAGGAGCGGATATAGGGGTCAGTTACAACCTCTTATCCCCCTATAAAAGCTCAACGAACCCAACAGAGCAAGAGGTTGGATTTTCGGCATCTGAACCACAGGGGTTGATTGGATTTTCTCTGGGCTCAGATCAGAGGCTATTGGCTGGCTCGTTGAAAACCACTCTGGCTTGGAGATTCAGCAGCAACGAAATCCTTAGAGATAGGATTTTTGAATCAAACTCAGAAGATCAAATCTGAGACTTGGAGATTCAGCAGCAAGAAATCCTTAGAGATAGGATTTTTGAATCAAAACTCAGAAGATCAAATCTGAGAGGATTCTTCGACAACAGAAAAACAGCCTTGATCATTAACCGAATTTTCGGTTCCAACAACTCTATTCACAGAGTTCAAACTCGTTCAGAGTTCTTAAACTCATTCAGAGTTATTCATAAAACTTTCCACGAAAGTTCATCGTTCCCACGAGATAAAGACGGTCGGATCGTCAACGGAGAGCAAGTTCGACGCAATCAATCGAAGGAAGCACTCCATCGCTGCCAAGAAGAACCCAGTTTTAAACAAAGGGGAAAACCAAATTCGTTTTCCTCTCTTTTGTAATCAAGTTGTAACCGAGATCAAAGGAATCAAAGTCACATTTTCTTTATTCTCTTCTTTGCTCCTAAGTTAGTTAGGGAGATTAATACGAATTTTATTCTCATTTCTTATTCAATTTTCCTACATACAAAAGATGACGACTCCGCTGGGGACTAACTTTTCCGACGAAGAAGTGGTGGCTCAGTCCGACGTCCACCTCATGGGAACGACTGTAGAAACTCTCATCGTGGAGTTTGATCAAGCGAAATATGAGGAAGCATTATCCTCTGGATCGCTTAGCCCCAAGGCTAAGCACGATGTCCGCAAGACCTCAAAGAAGGTCGATTCTGTTGTTGAAGTGCCGAAGAAAGCCCTCTCCTTCGGCCAGGAACTCAAACTGGCTCTGATGGCGGAAGATCCCACCTCCGCGTCAGCAAGACGTGCTTCAGGCCACAAACGGCCTCTGGAGGAGACGAGTCCTGTAAACGTCAATGACGTTGCTGCTAAGGCTTTGAAACAAGCCAAAAAGAACGCCGCTCGCCGACGGAGAAGATCCATCCGACGAGCACACTTACGAGAAAGCCGATTGTTGGCCCAACGCGAAGATCGCGTTTCTAAAAATCCAACCGAGCCTAGCGTTCCAAAAACAGAACGTTCGCTTCGTGGCAATGAGCCCGACTACGAGCCTCGGCTGATACAGC